ACGCTCCAGGGATGTAGCGTTTGCACACTGCATGCTGCCAGAACACCCAGAAGCTGTCCTGGGGCTGTGATGGGGCAATTTAAACTGGATTACTTCAACAGTGTACATTTATTTGGACATTTTATTTATTTATTTATTTAGAGTATTTACACCCCATTCTTCATCCACAACACTCTCAGAGAGCTTACAAATTATTAAGTGTTGGCTCTTCCTTTAGGCTGAATGAGATGGCTGCCTCAGGCAGGAGATTTGAGATGAAATGTTGGAAAAAAACAACAGCAAATTATTATTTGTTTACATATATTATTGTTGCATATTTAGTTCCAGGAAGTGAGGGACAGCCACTTCTGGGATTTTTTGTTTGGGTTGTTTTGTTTTGTTTGTTTTGTTTTGTTTTCTGCTTCAGTTGCATTAATATCACCCTTGGGTATTTTGGCTATAACTATGCAAAAAAGCAGAGTGGGATAGTGGTTTTTGCATTGGACTAGGACCCTGGAGGCCAGGGTTCAATTCCCAACTCATCAATGAAGCCCACTGGGTGACCTTGCACAATTGTGAATAGTTTTTAAAACTGTGCAGTAATTTAGGACTTTCCAGCAGCAACAACAACAACAAAATTGCTAAAATAAGTCATTCATTCAATAAAAAAGAAAATTAGTGAATAAGTACACCTCTAGTTTCAAGAAGGATGTGGTGGCTTAGTGTTTAAGTTGCCAATTCTGATGATTGGAAGATTGGAAGGTTGGTAGCTGAAGGCCTGAGTGCTGCATGATGGGGTGAGCTTCTCTCACTAGTCACAGCTTCTTCCAACCTAGCACTTAGAAATCATGCAAATGCAAATAGATAAACAGGTACCACTTCAGTGGGAAACTAATAGCATTTGGTGCAATCATGCTAGACAATGACCACCGGAGTTGTCTTCGGACAGCACTGGCTATTCTGCTTAGTAACGGAGATGAGCACTGTCCCCTACAGTGAGTTATGGCTAGATATTCATAACAATGGACTACCTTTACCTTTTGTTTCACAAATTGCAACATGGATTTTTTTAAAAAAAGAAATAGAAAAATGCAAAAGCCACTAATCTCTTTTCTCTTAGATAACCTTACTGTTGGATTCAGTAAATAAAAGAACTATTTGAATATTCTTGCATATGTTTAGTAAAAATCTAAGATTGTCCAAAACATTAAAATAATTCTTTATCATGTCTCTAGAGAAATTTATGTAATAACTGTTCTTATTTGATGCTATGGCATATGTCTTGTAACACTGAGACAAAAAGAAAAGCTGTCAAAAATGTTGAAAAATGAGAACTAAAATACAATAGAAGTTCAGATTCAAATTATTGACTTTTTTGAATTACTCAGTTCAAAGCAAACATGGCATGTTTGTAAGAAGGTAAGATTGACAGGCTGCTATTTTAGATCAATGAAAAAAAGAATTTACACTTGAACGAAAGCTGCCTTTCACAGTTTTTGATCAAATACAAAATCGAGCCAAGTTTCTGCTCTCCTAAAAAATAGAAATCTCCAGATATTTAAACAATGGGATAATAATTCACCTGTTGTCAATGACATTGAACCTTCCCAGAATGCTTAGTTATAAGGAGGCTCCCAAACTGATTTCTTTTCTTGAACTTTCAGTTAATGAGATTGATGCTTGAGAGAGCCAACATGGTTTAGTGCTTTGAGACTTGAACTAGAACTCTGGCAGACCAGAATTTAAAACCTTGGTTAGCTATGGAAACCTACTGGATGACCTTGGGCAAGTCACACTGTCTGAGCCTTACGGGAATGCAATAACAAACTTCTTTGTGTTCAGTTGGGTTTTTGTTATTGTTGTTGCTAAATACACAGTTTAACAAAATACTAATTTACTACCTTTACTACTAATTTACTGAGGGCCTTTACAGACTGCCAGAAATAATGCAGCTTGAGACCACTTTAACTGCCGTGGCTCAGTGCTAGGGAATCATGGGAACTGTTTTTCTGAGACATTGAGCCTTCTCTGTCAGAGAGCTCTGATGCCACAAACTATAGTCCCCATGATTCCCTAGCACTGAGCCAGGACAGTTAAAGTGGCCTCAAGCTGCATTATTTCTGGCAGTCTGTAAAGGCCCCAATTTACTACTGCATGATGGGGTGAGCTCCTGTCACTAGTCCCAACTTCTGCCAGCTTAGCTGTTCAAAAGCATGCAAATGCAAGTAGATAAATAAGTAACACGTTAGTGGGAAGATAAACAGCATTCTGTGCAATCATGCTGGCCACATATTCACAGAGTAGTCTCTGACAATGCTGGCTCTTTGGCTTAGTAAGAGAGATGAGCAATGGAGAATACCTATACCTTTACCTTTAATTTACTACACTAGTAAATTAGAAGAAGCTGTGTTCATAGAGGTTGCAAATGGGCATGATAACCTATGTCTAATAGGCTTTATCAAGTTTCTAGGTAGAAGCCTTGTATAAAAATTGGAAGCTTAGCAATGTCAACAGTGCTTGCTACCAGTTGTTCTCCAGTTTCTATTAACTCCAGATGAGGTTTTCAGACTGCTAGTTTCATGAATCCTAAACAGGGGAGCATATGCCACCAGGTTTAAGCTCAGTATGAGAGACCCACACATTCAGATTTTATTCTCTGTGATACCTCAAACACCTACTGTATGTAAACTGATGGTGACTTTAGCAAAGATAGTCTGATCAACAAAGCAGAATATGAGATGAAGCAAGTTGAAGTCTGTATGCTAGATTTCCAGTCTACACTTGTCATTACAGCAGCTGAATTTTAATAAATTCATTGAATCAATAACACAAATACTGTAGTATAGCTTCAATCCCAAGACAAATAAACTTAAGAAAGTTGCTCAGTCTATGCACCCATTTCACCTATCTGGTTGCCTTCTTCCACATGCAATGAAATCCAGAGGTTTGGAGGTCATCTTGTATGGTAAGGAAGTTGGTTAACAGAGTACTAAGAGAATGAAAAAAAAATGTTTCATGAGCTTCCTGAATAGCACAATTCTATGAAAGAGTAGTTAAGATCTTCAAACCTTTCATTAGACATATATAACATCACACTGCAAGGCAAAACTCAAACCTAGGATAAAGTTCTCCTGATTTCAAGTGGATTTCATTGGGCAATTTTGGAGGACCTATTGCATATAGCATTATAACAATCACAGTTGGTGCCTATAAATAGATGGACAATATCCTTTAACCATATGCCAGTAAAACTAGCGGCTATGTGAGGGACACTACTTGACTTCCTGCAAAAAAGATACTCCATGCACAAAATCCCAGGAAACACCACCTTAGCTACTTTGGATCTGGAATCCTTGTTCACCAACAACCCACACAAAGATGGACTACAAGTCACCAGGAGCATTATTCCAAATGCTACCAGTTTGTTCTATAATCTAATAACCTGTCCCCTGTCCCCTCTCTGTAAACCCAATATCAATTTAATATCACAAGGGATGTTTTAGGCAAGTGGTCCAAGTAGCAGCTCTCCAGCACAGGAACCCAGCTATGCTAGATCAATTAGACAGCCCAGATTGGGATAATCCATGATGGGATCTTCCAAGATTGGAATCATTATAAACCCCCTAGACTATGAAGAAGGTGATAGTGAGGCTACTTGCATATCACAGACAAAGTGTTTCCTTCTGGGAATGAAACTATTTTCATCTGAGAACATTTACACTGATTGTTAGGTCATTACTGCATATCACACTATTCTTCTCTCCTGGGAAAACCATTTATCAATCAGGTAATCCATTCATCCCAAGAATACCACCCTGGGATGTGATTTTGAGTATAAATATAGGTGCTTTGGCATTAGCCTTTTGGTCTTGTCTGAAGCAGGGCATAACCTCTATTCAACTTTTACTGGAGTCCTAAATAAGCTGGCCACTCCATTTGCCACAGCAGCTATTGAGCCATCTCCATTCCAGATACCCCTCAATTGGAGCTACACTTCAGAATCAGTAAAGTATTACCATTAGCAAGGCCTCAACTTTTCACCTTCTCCAACCTTTGCTTCATTAATTTGTGTGTGTGTGTGTGTGAGAGAGAGAGAGAAAGAGAGAGAAAGAGAGAGAGAGAGTTTTGATTATTTCACTAATAAACTACAAAACCTATTTGGAATTGTCTCTGGAGTTCTGTGTGGTTTCAAATCGATATACAAAGGAAAAGGTACCAGGCTGAATATTGCCCCAGCCTAGGTGTACTTTTATTGGCCCTATTAAAATTCTCTAAAATAAGTTAATTTGTGGGTGCCCAGCTTTTTGGATAACAGTCTGCACACACAAGTTAATAGTACTTCCATGAGCATGGACATGGGACTACAATAAGCCAACATTTTCATGCTTACCCTAGAACAATGCTTCCTTAACTTCTACACCCAGAAACTGCTCTTCTACCTGTGGTACATTATAATATCTTTAAAATTTGGACTCATGGAGAAGACTCAATCAAGACATTCCACCACAGTTTCATCAATTTCCACCCTACCATCATTCTCAACCTGGGACGAGTTCACTTTCTTGACACCATGGTACAGCTATAATATGGATATCTAACCAACACACTGTATCACAAACCCACTGAATGCCACAACAACTTACATGCCTCCGGTTTTCACCCTGAACACACTACCATTCATACCATAGTCACTGCCATAGTCTACAGCCAAACTCTCCAATAAAATCACATCAAGACCCACAAAGCAAGGAGGCCAAACTCACTGAATTACAATAAGCATTCCTCAAGCTACAATGCCCACCATGTGAAGTAAAACAAAACAAAACAAGGCAAGACTTGTACCCAGGACTAATTTATTACAGAACAGATTGTAGATAAAAAATAACAGAACCCCACTAATAGTCACATATAGCTCCCAACTGAGACTACTCAGTCATAAGGTCAATAAAATAAAACCTATTCTGGAAAATAATTCTGCCCTCTCAAGGACTCTTGGTGGCAGCCCTTTACTTGCCTACAGCTAGCCACCAAACCACAAACAGATTCACCTGTCCCTCTACATTTGCAGCTTTGACTTTTGTGGATTTGATTATTCATGGATTTTATTAATATGTTCTCTCTAGGAATATCTAGGTCCTCCAGCAAAACTCTATGGTTAACTTTAACAAAAAGTTACACTGAAGGACCTAGTGAGTCCTAGAGAGAACACTCCACTAGGCATTTGTAGATCCTCCAACACAATTTTATGGTCAATATCTGGCAGATGTTGACCATAGAGTTGCACTGGAGGACCTAGAGATTCCTATAAAGGTATTCTCTCAGATAAAAACATAGTGTTTTTGTTATTTGCAGTGTTTCCACATTCATGGGGGTCCTGTGCCCCTAACCCCAGTGAATGTGGAGGGATGAGTGTACTTGCATACAGGAAGACACACAACACTGAGGTGGACACAGGTGCAAAGCATTGTCACAAACCTAGATGTCAATTCTGCCCACACACCTATTCAGAAAATGTCATCATATGGCCTAATGCAGGGGTAGGCAAC